ACACCTTCAGATCCAGGCCCTCCAGGTCCTGTCCATGCTCTGCAGAAAGTGAAAACGTTACTATTGGTTATGAAGTCTGCTTGAACAAATGGCCCAGTGTTCTCAGCTGAGGAAGACCTCTGATTGTTCTCGCCACAGACGAGCTGTGAGCTGAAGCGCCGTGAAAGCCTCTGTAGGCTACAAAGCTTTTGTGATTTGCTTCGGGCTGACAGTGACTTCACGGTTAGAAGAACATCGCCGTCAATGATATCGCTATGAGACATTTTATCTTATTCGGGTTAAAAAGCACAGCTTTCCCCCGGCAGACTTAAAAACAAGCTAACTGCAATCAACTGGGGTAATTATTTCAGGGTGACACATTACTGTAATGTAATGTGCAAAAACAACTACGGGTATGCTTTCCTTAAACAACAAAACATGCTAATAGGGCTTTTTTAGAAACAGAATTTAATAACTTCAGAGAACAGTTAATTGATTCGACTCTCTTCAAGTCAGAAGACCGAGACTTAAAGGAATGAAAACTTGGAATTTTTATTTTAATTTAAAACAATAATACACACACTTCTTTTAAGGTCCTCATAAAAGATTAGTGACTCCACTAAGTCCCTATGTAATATTTTACCATGCTGCTTTTATTTCTATTAATTTGTTAAAAAGATAAAACTGATAAAGTTAACTCTAGCTTGAAATGAAAAAAAGCAATGCCCTAGATAAAAACATGTAAAAGTTAGGAAACATTTTTAAAGGATCATTTCCTTGTGGGGAATTCCATTCCATGACATTTCTACTAAAACACAGCAGCAGAGTGGAAAATATCAAAATACTAAAATAGGCATAGAAAAACAAAATCTATCCTCTGTTTTGATATGAAAGTGTTTTCATTCTGTAGAAAATGAACGGAAGCAAGTGTCTTCTTCTAGAGGGAGGAAAATGATCCCTCCAACTCTACTGACTGTAAAGACATTAGCAGCAGTGGAAGTGATGTAAAATAGAGCTGACCTTTTAGGATGATGTTGGTTTTGGTGGAAACTGCAGATTTTTGTACGTCAGAGATGAAAAAAAAATCCTTTTTTAGTTAAAAAAAACAAGTTTATGCTTAAAGACACACACAGAGGCTGTTTGCCCTGCTCTGTCAGCAGGACTTTGTGTCACAATCAAAGGCATCCCAAACAGTAGTGTGAATGTAAGCATGATGCACATGGCCCTGTTGTGTCTGGCATTTAGGTCAGAAGAGCTGCCTGTGGGTGGGTGAAAGACACATTTATGCACATGGGTTCACAAATGTGTATACGAGTTTGTGTTAGGGTGCTGGACACACACTGGATATTGCTATAATTTAATCAAACTCTTCTTAACACTCAAGCTCTGCTAACTAGGTCTCAGTGGTCACAAGAATCTCATTGAGCAAGTCAAACGTCATGTGAAAAGACAGTTAAAGGGTGTGCTTTGGCAACCCAGATAAAGCGTCATATACTATCGACACAAGCAGGGAGGCAAGCAGAGAGACAGACAGCTGGAAAAAAAAGATGGACCAGCTGCAGGAATTAAAACAAAATGTGCAGATGGAGGGGACAGAAAAAGAACAAAAGTGAAGGATGGCGTGTGTGTGTGAAGGAGACTCTTAAAGGGAAAGAATGCAAGAAATGTGGCTTCTTACCAGCCCGATAAACAAAGTTCGCCTCAGCCTCAGAGGAGGACGGCGAGAGCAGCTCATCGTCATACTCGTTGGAGCTGAAAGAGCCGGAGTGGTTTCTCTTTCGAGCGTCCATGACGGCGTTGGCCACCATGACGTGGCGCAGCGAGTCGTTCAGGTAACGGTGCAGCAGGCTGCTCTTGTACTTGGGTGGAGACACGTAGTCCTCTGCCAGTGAGGCGGCTTCGGCGGCCGAACGCAGCCCCGCGCCCATACCCATGCTCATGCCCATGCCCATGCCCATGCCCATGGCCATCCCCACCATGGAGGAGCCCTCCTTCTTGATCACACTCTGGTACATGGGCTTGTTGAGCTCCTCGGGGCTATTCTGTGTCCTCTGAGGGTTGTCCCCATCTGTGCCAGGATAAGAATACTCATTTAGATGGACTGCAGAAATATATTCTTACACTTTCACAGCTGTCAGCAGACGCCGCACTCAACTGCTGTTCAGAATTTGCGTTTGAGAGGATCAGCCGATCAAAAGACTTGAATTAAGGAGGAGGGGGTAAGATTAGAACTGTGAATCACACAAACCTTTTCAAGTTCATGTTACACGTTTATATATTTATTAAGAGATTTCAAAAAATTAAGATTTTTTTTTTAAAATTTTCTAAACATGAGCTATAGAAGTTGGACACTGTTCCTTAATGGAAATGTTATATTGGATGATATGGATTTGTATTTGTTGTGTTTCATTTGCTTTCAGGTTTCTGTCATTGTGTGCAAACAATACTGTCGCAGTCACTGACTGCACATAAACCCACAGTTACCACATATGTAGTTCACAAGCTAAACACTGTACTTAATCAGTGCTAAATGCCCAAAATGCATAAAATGTTTTAAAGATTCCGATCTCTACTACTGCACATGGAACTCAGTCAATGCATTAAGGGGAGTTTAAACAGGAATTGCGGCTGGAGCTCCAGTTAGCACAAGTGTATATAACAATCACGCACATTTTCTTCAGCAAATATTGTATTTCTAGAGTTAAAATAATTTTCCAAGTTCTGCGCGTCCCATCTGACTCGGGTGCTGGTTATTTTGAGCTGAACTTGAATCCAAATACGAGGCAGGGAGATTTGAACCTGGCACTCCTGCCCTCCCGTTGGCTCTCCTTCAAGAGCGGGAAGCACAGCCGAGACTTAAGAAGCATTACTGAATCATAACGGATGGTAGTCAATTTCCTCTCCATCAAAAGCAAGCTGCCCCTAAGTTCCCCTGCAGAAATAAATAATTTCCAGGGTGCTGCTTTGCAACTGGAGACACTGAATTAAAGCACAGGTCCAAACCTGATGAAAAGGTGGGGGGGTAGGAAGATAAAACACTGCACAGAAGAACCAGATATCCTCTGGCAGAAGGGAAATTAGGGAGAAGTTCGCTCTAGATACCGTCTCTGCCAAGACCATAATTTTGTAATTTGGACAGGTTGGACATTTGATTCAGCCGGAGCCAAATTAAAATTATAGCTCCCACATATCAGAAACACATGGATGGAGAGTATTTGCTCTCCTTCCTATGCGCCATCAGAGAATCAGCATTTTTCCTGTTGTCACTCAGACAATAAAATAAATCTTTTCACATCAAATCCTTGCAGTATTTTAAAGAAAACAGGCCCCTTTTCGCACCTCCATGACACTCCAGTTCACAAAACAGAAAACAACATTTTCTCTGCACTTCGACTCCAAAACAAGCTGGACCATTTCAGACAGTAAGAGGAATGCACTCCGGGTCAGTGGGGTTAGATCTGGCCCCATAAATAGACTCTGGAACAAAAGCATAGGCTTAAAAACATAATAGAGGGCCTTTTAGCGCGTGGGTCAGAAGTGGAAGCAGGCTGCGGATAGCTTCATAACCATAATATGACAGGGAGAAGAGTCAGGGAGATATACAGAGCCTCCGGTGGTACAGTGGCCTGTGGCAGACACAATGCAAACACCATGCACACATTCTTCTGTGAGCCGCACACAGCTTCTGCTCCTCAAAAATCTAATTAGAGATCACTGACACCACAGCGCTCGTCCTTTCTCTCTATTCTTTCACTGCTCGGGGATATAAGTTGTATTTTTTTTATGTTTCCTACCCATGTTTTCTGTGCTGTCATGGAGTACAAAAAGGCAGTCTCTCCCCTCTGAGGATCAACATGTGTTTGCAGTAAATACACTACGCTGACAGGGAGCCGCTCATTTGCAATTGCAGACTAGGAGGCAGAGGTTGGCTCAGCAGGGTGTCCTAATGACAGCGTGTCGCAGCCCATCGGCCTCGGCGTCTCTCAGCTGGATCACCATATATATCCAGCCCAGAACACTGTTTCTGCAGAGCGTCGGGCCACTTTAGGAGGAACTCAGAAGGAGGTGGACTGGCCTTTGGCGCCGGTTCACTCCGTGACACTACATTTAAAATTTTGGGGGTACAACAACTATGATGTAAGTTCGCAGGTCAGTCGGTACAGAGTGCATCAGGTTCGCAGCATGTGACCAGTTTATATAAGAGAGCCATTATTATGTGATATCTCAGAAGTGATCTTCCATCAAACTGACTGAGCAGCACACGTTTTCCACTGTTCTTTAATGCACATTATTGAATTATTCTAACATTCAGCATTCAAGGATATGCTCTCAGCGAGAGACAGAGAGCTGCAGAATAAGAGCGAAAGAGCAGGCAAAGGGTCAAACACCAAATCAGAACAACGCTGCTCATACACACAGAGAAGGAGTGGCCTTTCAAATATCATCATTATTAAAATTCTGTTAGATTAACTGGTGCCAATGAAAATGGATAATATGCTTTGGTGAATGGAAAAAGAATTAATCACATCAATCTGCTCTGTGTGCTGTGCATGGGTGCACATGGTACAAGTCTCATTAGTGCATGCTTCTAATGATCATTTCGGGCAGTTCTTTTTTTAAAGATATAAAGTAAAAACAAATTTTTGATAGTATGGACACTGAAAAATCTTGTTTCTGTTTCACTGAAAGAAAGAAAAAAACATTAAAAAATATCTATCTATCTATAGATAGATTGATAGATATGTCATCTCTCAGTCGGAACAACACAAATTTGATGGGACACAATGATCTTATATGTGTTCTATGTAAAGTTATATGTGATGGAAAACTTCCATAAATACGAATGAGTCACAAGTGACTAATATACAGCACGTGCACTGTATCTATGCCAGCTTCCTGGGAGAGAAGACAATATAAATATGTTTTTACAGTTCATGTGAACGAAGTTAAACAGGGCACCCTTTTAATTATAACTGTGTGAATAAAACGAATTAATCATATTGTAGATCAAAATTAAACATGCTAGTAAGTAAAGGGTTGTTAGTTATCCATGCCTTTGTTTACGCCCGGCTGGATTACTGTAATGCTCTTTATATAGGGGTCAGTGCTTCATCAACGACTCATCTACAGAGGGTGCAAAATGCTGCAGCTCGTCGCACTCAAAAGTGTGAGCACTATTTTAGCTTCACTTCACTGGCTGCCCATTCCTTTGAGGATTCATTTTAAAATTCTTTTATTTGCTTTCAAAGCCCTCCATGGTCTAGCCCCATCTTATCTCTCTGAGCTGTTACAGCCTTTATACACCCACCCGCTCTCTCAGGTCAGCTGATCAGCTGTTTCTGAATGCACCCAGGACCGAGCGTAAACTTAGAGGAGATCGTGTTTTTGCTGTAGTAGCTCCAAAAGTGTGGAACGCTCTGCCTTTAGAGATTAGACTCTTCTCTGCTTGTTTTTAAATCACCTCTGAAAACCCGTCTCTTCATGTTGGTTTTTAGTTTATTTTTATTAGTTGATTCTATGTTGTTTTATGCTGTTTTTTTAATATATATATATATAGGTCTGTTTTAATTAAATTTTTATGTATTATGTGTTTTATTTTTGTTTTATTCTATTGTTCTTAACTTACTTACTATACAGCACTTTGGTCCTGTGCTGGCTATTTAAAGTGCTTTATAAATAAAGTTGGATTGGATTGGGGAAATTGAGTGTTGACATTGCTGGCTAATAATCCTTCCTTTGAGGTGAAAGTAGTCAAAGGACGACCACTCCCCCATCCCAGTAAACCTGGTTCAGCGTTGCTCAAATGGGATGGCTGACGATTCAGAAACCGTACCTTCTGAGCAGCTGTCATCGCTGCTAACGCTCAGCCTCTCTGCATTCCCCTGAACATATTTGTTGTACAGCTTGATCCTGAGCGCCCAGCTCAGGTCTGGCTGCCTCACTGTGTTCTTCAGTCGCCTCCTAGCATTGGCGAACCAGTTGGACACCTAAGAGAGAGAGTGAGTAAGACAAATAAGAGGGAAGTGGGAACGGACAGCAAATAGAAACATATGTTATTGTTTGGATTCCAAATTCTTCCATATCCAGCAAAAAAAAGTCTATCCCCTAAGAAAACGTCTGCTCTCTGCCTGCCATCAGTCTCATTCAGAAAAACCAAGCAAGACCGAAGCAAAAGACAGATATAGAGTCGGGTTGCAGAGGAGCTCTTTGAGGCCGAGACTTAAGAAACAACCCAGACGCTCCAGAGAGACACCGCAGCATGCATCCTTTCTGTATCAGTAACATGCAGAAACATTTAACACCATTCAAACGCCGGATGGCCAGCGAACGCAACATTTCATTAACTAACGTTCTAGCTGAGGCGTACATTGCCCATGCTTATTTTGGACTCGCACGGCCTCCCACCAATAAGACATTTTTTCCAACACTGTCTTCAAGATGAGTGTCTTCAAAAGAGACACTTGATCCAGCGCTCTTCCTTTCACTGGGAATGGAGACTATTAGATATTATACAAGAAAAACTTTTCATGCTCAATAGATTTCAAGCAGTTTATGAAGGGGCTGAGACAGAGGCCTTATGCTAGAGTACTTATTTTTCCGATCCTCTCTTTCAGTATCATGTTTCTTGTTAACTAAGACCATCCCACATCCCTCTGTCGCGAGCCCAGCACCGTGGCACACCAGGAGGACGGCGGCATCTTGTGAATTTGCGAGGTGAGACACGAGACAGCTTGCTTATGAGAGCCGGGGAAAGAATGGCTCAGGGAAAAGAGACAGAGATGGTGACGCCTAAAAAGGCTGGACCCAATCGCCAAACCAAGCTCTCTCAGCCGTGGCTTGTCAGCCGCGTGTGTACCGTAGAGGAGACGGCATGCAGGGACGGCGAGGGATTTCAGTGGTGATGGAGAGATGGGACTGGATTTTCAGCACACTTGATTCACAATATTTACATGGAAAGAACAGGCTGTTTTGCTAAAACATGACAGATTTAGTTGTTTTAAACACCTGGTGCCAGGTGGGTGTTTCCAGGGAAAATGCACAGGAAGTGATGCATTCTACATTTCTGGACTAAACAGTGGAAGAAAGGGGTAGCTCTCATCCTCAATCAATGGACAGGCAAAGAAATGTGAGTCAACAGTTAGCTGGTGCTATC